ACAATATGTTAGGTGTCTTGAATTAAATTTTCAAGCTTTTCTACCATACAAATAAATTTTTATCGATATTTATAGAAAAAAAAAAACTAAAAAAGTTGAAAAATTAAAATGTCAGTAAACAGCTCAAAACAAATCAAAATATTTTGAAWRTTTCATCAAATATAGAAAATGCCTATATAAACATTTAATGTGAACTTTTCAAGTACCTATCTGCGATCATTAGTTTTAGAGTTACACCAAAATAAGAAAATCGCTAAATGAGAAATCTAGTGAAAATCGGAAATCCAATGTTAAACGCTCATTAAAATTTAATTTGAATTTCTGGTGGATATTTTTTTGTGATAAAAATTGACAAACTTGTAAAGAATATATTAAATTTTCAAATCTTATATTTAAAAAGAAATTTTTTTATGAATATCTAGCTTAAAATAATTTTGCGAATTTTTGTGATTTTTACGTATTTTGTCAAAATTCAAATTTTGAATGCTTATAAAAAAAAATTTGTTGCTATAAATTTCTTTTATTTTTCAACTGCTATTGTAACAATATATTAAGAGCCTCGTATTAAATTTTCAAGCTTTTCTACCCAACAAATAAATTTTTATCGATATTAATTTAAACAAAACTAATAATGATCGAAAATTGCAAATACCTATGAATAGTTTAACTTAGGGTGACCATATTTAAAAAAAAAAAATACAGGACAAAATTAATTATAATTTAATTTTTTTTTTTATTAATACTTAATATATATATTAACGATTATCAACAAGTCGGCAACACTCAACGATTGTTGGTACCAAACTATAATAGCAATAGCTATCCGCTATAATAACGATAACCGTATTCACAAAACGTATTTTCTATTATCAGATCCTGACCAATGTCAAACTTGCGGTGAAACTTCCACGGTTGAACATCTAATATGCCACTGCCGTAAATTCACCGACATCAGAACCAAGCTCAATATAGAAGATAATCTGGAAGAAGCTCTAAGTCCCCAGCCAAGCAACATTGAAAAATTAATCAGTTATCTAAAACAAACCAAACTATACCAAATTATTTAACCTAGATATATCTCAATCTTTTTTTGTTCATATTATTACCTTTGTTTTGTATATATTATTGTTAATGACTTATTCTTGTTAAAAAAAAATATTTATGTTAAAGGCCAATAACCTTTGTTGTTGAGGCTCATTTAAAATAAATAAAAAAAAAAAACGTATTTTCAGTGATATAAATAGATAGAAGATAGAATCGAAAGCATATAGTCTGATAACGGTCAATCTGTTAACTCCGATAAGCTCCTATAACTCGTAGACTGGTAGACATACCCCAATACCCCATACTGATAAATTCAGACTATCACAAGATTACAATTATAATCATTATTCATTACTTTCGTAAGTTTCGTTTTCAAATTCATTAATTTTGTTTGATCAAAAAAACAGGACAAAAAGCGTCCTGAATGAAGTTTGTCAGGACAACATGACACAATGCTGAAATAAAGGACAATCCTGTAAAAAACAGGATGGTCACCCTAGTTTAACTTAAGTCGAAAATTTTTAAAAATTACATGAAGGATAGAATATACTTATATAAACTTTTGGTGAAAATTTCATGTATCAATGGTCATTCGTTTTAAAGTTACATCAAAAACCAAAATTGATTTTGTCGAAAACTGATTGAGCGTAAAAATTCCCGTTTTTTCCTTAATTTTTAGTTTGTTTATCCCGATTATTTAGAAAAATATTGAGAGTTTTTTACTTTTGACCCCCCAAAGTACCAACTAGATTGACTTTCTGAGCTAACAAGGTATTGTTGTCGAAAATCGAAGCATTTTTACTGCCCCAAAACGTGATGACAGACACAAAAAAAATAGTAAAAATTAAAAAAACACAGATCATGGTAAAATCAATACATTCCTCACTCCGCTCAGAATCTAAAATTATAGATATATTATTATTAAACCTAAAACAAATGGTATTAAAAAAAAAATTTTTTTTGACATATTTATTGTCTTTGACGATCTGGGTTCAGTCATCTGGGACAGATCTGGACGATCTGGGGCACATTCTGTATAGTTACGGGAAGTTGTTGGTTAAACGTTGAGTGTTATGGGGGGGGGCAGCTATTGGGTCTGAGCATGTTTATGTTCTGTGGATGGATTTAGATCGTTGAGTTTGAATTCCCACTCTTTGTATCATACCGAGAGTATGTCAAGCTAGCTGGGATTGTATTCTGTTAGATGCCTCGATAGGGTCTTGGTGGAGGGCTAGGATAGCTTTGAAACAAATATTTTACAAGGTATTTGACCTTTTAGATTCTGAGTGGAGCGATGAATGTATTGATTTTCATTGATGTGTTTGCTTATTTGGTAGTTTTTTTAATTTTTTTTTTTTTTTGTATCTATATACACGATAAGTTGACGAAATAGTGCTTCGAATTTCAACTTCAGTAGCTTTTCTGCTACTATCTATCTGGAGGTCAAATTTTGAATTTCCTAGTAGTTTTCAAAAGCACTGGGAAAAACATAAAGTAAATACAGGAAAAACGGGAATTTTTAAGCAAAATAAATTTTTGAGAAAATCGAATTTTGATATTGGTATAACTCTAAAACTTTGTCTACTTTTATCAAATAAAAAATGTCTACCGGAAAGTCGAATTAAATTTTTATGAACACTTGAATTACAACATTGGATATTCACTCAATTTTTCGTGTACCTACCTATATATTCTTATTCTGTTATAATTCAAAAATGAATAACTGTAGAAGCACTATACATTTATTTTATCAATTCCTATACTTAATAAAATTTTCAAAATATTTCAACAATTTTTAGTTATTTTAGAAATTTGAAATTTTCCGTTTTTTTTTTGTTTTTATTCTATAAATATCATGCACTAGCTAAAAATAATTTTTGCGCAGGAATGAGACAAGAGGTACGAAAAACAAATTTTGGAAATATATTATTATAGGTATAATATACCTACCTTTACGTGAGCATGATTTTTTTTCTTTTACATCTTTATTTTTTGACTTGTCAACATTGCCTTTTTTTTGTTTCTTTTTTGTCACTTCATTATAAACTAAGTCTCCTAACTTTCTCTTATCGGCCTTAACTCTATCACCAACTACTAGAAATAACAAATTACAGATGAAAAAAGTATTATAAAAACATTTTAAAATTATACAAATTACACAGCTGTGTAAAGATATATGTTTTTTCCAGTTCGAATGGTTATTAAATATTTATATATACCAATATCCTATTTATATATAATCGACTGCAACATAATTACTATATCACACATATTTACTATTAACAAATAACATATTACTCTTAAAATAATAAAATATTGATAAATTGCAACTCTTCTTCTGTAAAGCATATTATGAAAATTAGTTTAGGAAAAATTTAGTTCATCCGCGGCGCAAATCCCCAGGAGTAAACGCCTTAGGGCACATGGAGCTATAGCTAGTAGCTATTAGTCGTGGAGGTATATTGTTATTCTTATTATGAAGGCATTTATATTGCGTATATAATATAAATATGAAGTATTGTACGATTAACGTATAAATATAATGAATATAGACGAGTTTGGAATTAGTGATAGAGGGTTGGTGGATGGGTGTCAGTTGGTAAATGTTGATTTTGAGTTAAGTTTGACCACCATAAAAAATGATTTGCTACATTGCTATAGTATTTATACTTTATACAATCGTCGACATTTTTTACTTGTCGATATTTCGACCGTCGACATATTAACTTGTCGATTTTTTGATTGTCGACGTTTCGTACCAGACCCGAAAACAATGTGTTATTAATGAAATTCAAACTGAAGTCTACATTAAATTAAATAGTGTGCATTTACAAAGGTGTCCCAAAGATAAAAAAATTATAGATAAAAAAAATACAAAAATATAAAGCAGTAATCGGTATGATTTTATTAAATCAATGTCATTCAACTATTCTATTTAATATTATTCTATCTAAAATTTTGACGATTTATACTTTTGATAAAAACTTACTCTTATATTATATAAAAATTACATWAATATACAAAAACTGTACAAAAACACAATACATTTTTGGAGAGTAATAGAAGCCGCATCCTCGTGGTACTCTCTGGGTAATGCTAAATGGCTTTATAAAATTAATTAACACAAATTAATAATTTAAATATAACAAATTTATTACAGTGAAACCTCGGTTTCTCGAAGTTTCTGTATGTTGAATTTTTTTTCAGTCCTGATCATTCAGTATTGGGCTTACGTATTAAGTTATTTTGATATATCGAATTTCCATAAGTCAAATATTTCAATAAGTCGAAGTCATTATCCGGTACCCAAAGCCTATTATGATTCACTAACTCGAATATATGACAGATTAGATAACGTAGAAAATTCCCAGACTATTAAATATAAGATAAATGATAGAACTTATACACACAACGTTGTATATAATAATGTTGATATTTATATAGTTCAGCTAGTGCCCGATAACGGCGATAAAGTTACATGGACATTATTTCTTCTGATTTTATTTAGTCGTAATTCTATCGTTTGTACTTATTCATGATTTTAATTACATATATGTTTTATGTTATATTTTATTAAGTCGTGTGTTTTTTCTTTACAGTGTCAAATAAACGATCTTTGAAGTGCTTAAATGTTGGTGACAAATTAAAAATTATAAAAGAAGTTGAAAAAGGTGTGAAAAGAAAAAAAGATATCGCGGCAGATTTCAATATTCCTGCTAACACTTTGTCATCAATTTTGAAAAATAAAGATAAAATTGTAAAAAATATTGAAGGTTCATCGTGTTCACCACAAAGAAAGAAATTGAAAGTTTCAAGTTTTCCTCAGATTGAGGATGCAATGTTTAAATGGATACATAGAGCAAGGGATCATAATCTTCCTATTTCAGGGCCCCTGATTCAAGAAAAAGCAAACGAGTTTGCTCAAGAACTTGGACTTGAGTTTCACCGTAGTTCAAGTTGGTTCATAAATTTAAAATGCGAAATGGAATTATTTCAAAAATAATATCGGGAGAAAGTGCTGCAGTATCGGACATTGATTGTGAAAATTACGTGACCAACATTTTACCTGGGTTAATTCAAAATTATAGCGAGCAAGATATTTTTAACTTTGACGAACTCGGTCTTTTTTTTTAAATGTTTACCGGACAGAACTTTAACGTTCAAAGGTAAGCCTTGCCATGATGGAAAAAAATCTAAAGAAAGAATCACAGTTTTATTAGGTGCTAATATGGTTGGCACAGAAAAAAGTAAACTTTTAGACATTGGTAAATATCAAAAGCCTAAATGTTTTAAGAACGTGAAATCATTACCTGTGCAATATGAGTTTAATTAAAAAGCGTGGATGGCCTCTCAAATTGTTGAGGCTTATTTACATAAAATAGAAAAAAAATTTGTCAATGAAAAAAGGAGTGTACTATTTTTTTTTTTTTTTTGATAATTGTTCAGCTCACCCGAAAATTCTGCAAAAAACATTGAATACAATTAAAATTATATTTTTTCCACCAAATATGACTTCCAAGCTGCAACCAATGAATCAGGGATTAAATTTAAAAATTTAAAGCACCATTACCGTAAAAAAATAATGCAAAGACATTTACGATAACTTGAATTAAATGAAGCCATCACAGACGTAAATTTATTAGATTGTATACATATGCTCTATAGTTCTTGGAAAGCTGTTTCTACGTCTACAATTTTCAACTGTTTTCGTAAAGCGGGATTCAGAAAACCAGAATTTAATAAAGATAAACATAAACATAAATAAAATGTACATTCATAACACATATAATATGATTACATTTAATAATTTTTTTTAGAAGGAGACTAAGTAGAAGAAATATTTGAAGAATGGCTTGAATATCAAAGAAAACACTCCGATATCAATATTTCATATCAATAATTTTTAGATATTGATTCTACTTTGAACACATCAGTAAGCTTAACCGATGTAGAAATTTTTAAAACATCTGATATTCTCAGTGAGCCAGAGACAGATTCTGCCGATGAAGCAATTGACGAGGAAGAAATTGCTGTTGTGTAACCTTTTATACGTGGTGCCCAAGCTGAAAACTATATACATGAACTTCGAAGATATGTCCAACAACAGTCTGGATTTTCTGACAACATTTTTTCTGCACTAAATATTTTAGGTAGTTTTATTGAAAATACTTCTAATACTAAAAAAAAAACAAAAAAAATGAGATTTTCTACTTTCATAGACAATAATGTATACTTACCCAAATGACAAATACTAATACAACATAATATCTATGCAATGTATATTGTATACATTTTATATTATAAATACAAATTTTTCCCAATAATTAAAAAATTTTATTTATGTTTTAAATTCCCTCGCTAACTCGAAGTTTCGATATGTCGAATTTTTTTTTTTTTGGTCCATTACGACTTCGAGATACCGAGGTTTTACTGTATTATGTTAGATATAAATAATTTAAAGTAAGTGTTTCTTAAAATGTGTATTATAAAAATTTGGTCGAAAAGTGCTATATAATATTCTTGGGCGAAAAGAGAAAGTAGTTTTAAAATATTTGGGCGAACGGGGTCTTGCCCCCTTATATACATATAGCCGTATAGGTACACTTAAGCCAATTGTACAGCAACTTGAGACTTTACCAGGTTTCTTAAATTGTTATGTCATATTTAATTAAAAACGTATTATTGCTATTTTTTATACCAGAACTTTTCGACTGCAGGCAATGTTGGGCTTTTGCAGAATCCAAAGAAACTCTCTCGTTAATCTGTCTTACTTTGCAAGGCTTTACTCGCGAGAAACGCTAAAAATGAAATATAAATACTTTAAATACTATATTTTTTATTGAAAAATATGTAGAAATACCGTAGATCATTGGTCACTTGTCGTACGTTAAAATATGTATATTAATAGTATATTATACATATCTAACACATATATTAAGATAAATATTAAATATTATAGAAATTAATGTTATTATTAAAATTGCGTATGTAACCTAAAATGAGATATATTTGTAATCTTTCACTCTGGGAGGAAGGAAGAAAATAAGATGGTCAAGTTGTACCGTTCAGGTGCGTGCACGACACCAACCAAAGAAAACACGTGGTTTTGGTTTAAGATTTTATTACAACAGTCGTTAAATCAAGCGCACAGAGTCCGACGAAAAGTCGTGGTTCAAAGAGAAGTTTTCGCGGAGCGGAACTTTGACGTGGACGTACGGGGGGTTGCGTTTATTTTAACAATGTAAAAATAAAAACGACAGCGCGACAACGCGACAACGGCGTGTTTATATAATAAAAAAGGAGTAACGGATTAAACGGGCGCGGTTCGAAACGCTGGTACGGTGACTAACTGCGTACGGTCATAGAATATAATAGAAGCAACACTCGCCCGTCCACTTTAATTGTTTTTATTTCGTGGCGGACTGATTGATGTTGTAAGCTTGATGGAAGGCATGATGTTAGGAACTTTTTATCGCTAAAACAGACCGCTCGGGACCAGCCCGCCAAAGTTTAAAAAAAAGGTCACCGCATACTACCTTAGAATAAATAACCATATATAATATATTTAGTAAATAATTATATAATAATAATTTTTTGCACAGCGCCGTAATGTTTTTCTTTAAATATCACAATTTTCTTATGTAATATAGAAATCAATTAAATATGTGTATTATTCTCTATTGGGCTGTTGGCCAAAATACGTTGCATAATAGCATAAGATTCGGATACAGTCGGTCGGCACTCTGGTCGATCGTCGTGAATAAACACTGCAACGGCGGGCACGTTTGACGTCGGGAGACGTACATAAGGTACCAACCTCTCGCCGACTGTACCTGCCGGATCTATGTATTATGTAGAGCACGGGTCAGACTGGTCCACAGAGCACCGGTTGCAATAAGGTACACGATAGTACAAACTTGCTCAATCAAACTGTTGATGACCCGTGTATATTCTGCGATAAGGAATGCGTATCATATAATAATGGTCATTACACTAGTAATAATTACTAAGGCTCAAATGAGCCAGGGCGGCATTGTATGCGGACAAATACTGGCACAACACGGCGTCGGTGCCGTATTCTATTCCTGACTAGGCTGGCGCCAGACTGGCGGGCGTCGTCCGTTCCGTCAGAGAACACGAGACCGGCCACCCGGCCATAACCAACGTCAGTGCCATGTACGGGAACTTGTGCGTAGCGCGCCGGACACTGCACCACACGCAGCAGTTAATCAGACTGCTGTGGGCGTGGTTTCGAAGGTGACAACAACCAATGCATTGGTCAGCGCCGTCACGTGACCGCACGCAATAACCAGCCACAGACAATCGTGGGCGGTTCCTGTTAGTACACAGCGCCGCAGCAGGCGAGACCAAGATTATAATAAGGAGTGCGGAGCACAAATTCATCCTATCCGTGATCTGTCCAATATACTCATATCGTACATCATTAAAAAAAATTGACGTGATATTATAATTTATATTATATTATAAATTTATAATACTCTTGTCGCACAATTATCAACAATAATTACTTGTCTTACAATTATCAACAAGAATGATGCTGGAAGTTTGGTGGTAAGATATGATTTTACTAACAATTTCAAGGTCATGAAATATTCTAAATTCATTAAAATTGGCCGCCCGAGAGTGTCGCTTCTATAATATTCTATGGTACGGTCGCAGAGAAAAAACTGTAGTGTCGTCGTAGGCCGAATAGGCCGTAGCGCTCGCACSGGACCACGTTGCCATCGCGACAATCCGGTTATCGGCAGAGTGGGGCGCGGTGTGCGAGAAATMGTTCGCGATCGGAAACCTGATCGGCCCGATACGCGAATATAAAATAAATATGGTACGGGTAACTAAAAGTAATACACAATAAGTACAATAAATACAATAAACCAATAAATATGGTGATGATATTAGTTAGTATCACCACAATACTAATTATAAGGGATAATAATAATAACCAAACGTTCTAACCTAACCTTACGACTGTCAAATAATATCATGTTGATAATTATTGATGTTTGAATAAAAAATAACATGTATAGACAGTAGGCACTTATATGATTAATATAGATAACCATACCTAACCTAAACCGTTTGATTTACATAAATAAATTATTTGCGATATTATAGAATAATATCATTAATATCTATACATACTTCCTTCTTTAAAACATGCTTTTTTTTTTGTTTCCGTTGAGCAACCGACGGCGCCGGCACTTCAAACTTAGTGATTACCGGCAGGGGAAACCACGCCTCGTGAGCCAAACGGCGTTTAGTTCTGTCGGAAGTCGATTTTTTAGCGAGATCACTTTTGCTTAAGTTTTCTCTGGGCAACTATAACAAAATATAGGAGATGTATTATATATTTTTAAATTTAATCAAATAACGTTAAGATTAAGAACTTTCATGAAAATGTTTCCTGAGATTACAATAGTTTTGACGTGCCCACTAAGCGTGTAGCGTAGTAACATATTTAAATAAAATATGCTTCTATATTATGTACAAAAAATAAAGTTAATAGTTTAATATATGTACCTCGTATATGGTTTTAGAAGTCCTTGGAAGTTTCGGTGGTTGAATACCTAAAAAATAAATAAGGAAAATGGAAATACACGTCCTTTATACAGACAATATAATTATATTATAATTTAGGTAATCACACATCTATGATTAAAATATACATATAATAACACCATATTGACGAGTAAACAAGTTTAAAATAAATTAAAYGCATAAAAATTGTTTTTAACAATYTAACGATGGAATTTTTTAGAATCAAAATATATATAGAAGTAACAAAACATTATACATGAATATTCTTAAACTTAAAAATAATTGTTTTCTAAAGAATATCCAAAATGTTATAATAAATAGCCAGATCTCAAACTGAAAGTTTACAAGTTGAGTTATATTGATGGATATTAAATTCCAAGCTATCTATAAATTATAATTAACGAGTATAAAGTCACATACTAGGTAGTTCTTATTAAGTAAAATAAATAATTAAAGCCATCAAACGACAAATGTGTTTGAAAATATAGGTAGATAGTTAAGTTTCCTAACTGTTACAGAATAATATTAGATATGAAATAAATACTTAACCCATGCGTTAGATATTAGATTAGACTTACTTATGTTTTGATACTTTCCGTTTGTAGCCATCGTGTAAACCGAAATCAATTTAACCGAATTAGTGAAACGAATCGAATCGGCAGATAGGTACCCAAATAGTTTTCTAATTCAGTAAAATATACTAGTAGTAGGTGAAATAACTACCATATAGGAACAAAATAAATAAATAATATACCTAGCCAGAATACTAAAAAAAAACCGCGAACAAAATATACATTAACGGATTTTTTTACGCTCATCTTGTGTAGGTACATATAATGTAGACTCTAGGTATTTAAATCCTTATGGATTGCTTGGATAAAATAAAATAAATATTCATTTTTACACTTACTAGGGTCAAAATAACTATACATGTCTCAAAAGTTTAGTCTACCTTGCAAATAGTCTTAATTATCTTAAAGGGCCTCGCTATACCACATATTTAAGGAGCAATATTTAGGCGATTTCCAATCTTTTCTTCGCCGCCCAGGATCTATGTGTTAGTCGTAAATGAATATTAGTGTGCGTGTGGCTCAATGCGGGTACCGCTTCTTTCCGCACCATMCACCAAATAGACGCACTGAACTCTATACATGGAAGGCGCATTGCATATGATTCCTGTATTAGGCAGTCATTTTGATTCCATTAGTGTTTTACTCCATGAAAAGCATGGAGAATAAATCAAATTATTTATGATAATAATAATGATATTGATATGATAAAAACCACGATATAGACATAGATAATAAAGAAATGGATGGGCCATCTCCACGGATAATAGACATACGGTCGAAGCATTGTGTTGTTTGGGGGGCGTGATTTCAAACAGTGTGACGTCAGAATAGACCTCCGCATTCCAGCCGCCAGCCCGCTAATGCAGTAATTCCAGTTTTTCTGTCTTTTTTTGTTTTTTTTCAATTTTTTTGAAAACTGTTAGAAAATGTTTACTTTTGACCTCTATAATGCACCAAGGATATTCACTTTTAAAATCAGAAACCACCCCCAAAGTTTGAAATCGAAGCATTATTTCGACTAGTTATGCTGTACACAGACACAAAAAAAAAACACATCATTGTAAAATCAATACATTCATCACTCCGTTCAGAATYTAAAATTCTAACATATCTTATCATACATTTCCAAAAGATCAAAAACTATGCCATGTTTGGATTAATGCCTGTCGGAGAAAAGATAAGTGGAATCATAAGACTTAAGAAGTTTTTGGAAAACGATTTTAAAGTTAATTTAAGAAGCCAATTAATGAACATCAAAATAGAAATAAAATCAACTAAAAAAATGAAAAAAATAATAACATAGATTGTATGTGATTGTAATATTAAAATAACTAGTATTTAAACCTTATAATATTTTTTTAATTATATTAATTGATCCTGATTCTTAATTAATTAATGTCAATATGATGTACCTAAAAAGGTATAAATACTATTATTTAATAAAATATACATGTATAAAATCATAAATCTCATTACAATATTTATTATACATTTATTTAAGTAAAAATTATTAATTGTTTATATATATTTGTAAAATTAAAGTTTGAACTTGTAAATACTTATCTTATTAATTTTGCACAATTTGTTTCAAATACATTATTAATATTGAATGTTTGTATTATAAATTTATATTAATGTATGTATGTAAACTAAAATTCACAAAGCTAAATTCAGTTAACTTTAAATATATCAGTCTCTTAAATCACTCAATACTATTCATTGATATCCATAATTTTTATATGTTTAAGTACGTAATTAAAATATGGTAAACAGAATAACAATCTGAAAAACCCCAGGAAATAATTCGCGATCTTGGAAAAAAAATCTCCAGACCTAAAATATTACTCCTAAAGTTATGATTACAAAAAAATGATTGAAAAATTATTTTTTGAACGTTAATTAGTGTAATTAACACATTATTTATTTAATTAATTACAAATATTACTTATAGTATAGGTAGGTATACTTTTTATTAAAAAAATAAAAACCAATTTGGTGAAAGAAACATTAAATTAAAAATCAATTTAAGTTCTAAGATGAAAATATATATTGAATACGCCTGTCGTCCGTTGCCGTGCAGCCGCGAGAATTTAGGTCTATTGTGACGTCATATAACAATAATCGTTTTTAATTGGCTAGCGGTGTTTGGATTCGACCGTATATCTATTATCCGTGGGCCATCCCTATACCTTAATATACACGGAGCGTTCTGTGATTGAAGAGAACTTATGTTACCACAGTAGTTAGACAGTGGTTACATAGTGGTTGCCGGGTAGCAAAATTTTAAAGCATGACGTCACGGCGCGTGAAATTTTAAAATATGTCAGTCCATTAATTACCATTCGACAATCAACAATCAGATAGGGCATAGAACCATGGATAATTAATAATTTTTAATGATGACAATAATATTGATATAAGAAAATAATAATTGTTCGGTATAAATACAAATTTATATAAAATGAGTGATCTGCAATAGGGCACTATGTCAAAAACTTATAGTAATATAATGTATAATAATATCACAGAATAGAGTCTATTCAATAGATAAATAAATATGATATAACTAATATTAATAATGATATTTTCAATTTTGTTATTGTCAATCATAAACTTAGGTTAAGTCTAGAATGAGGTCTATGTTGTCATTTTGTCAATAGATAATACATGACAAATAAGAATTTATTTAATTTATTTGTCATGATAAAGTATAAACATAGGTKWWWTAATAGGTTAATGAATAAGTTTAGTTACATTAAAATTAAAATTAAAAATYACATAAAAACATATTAAAGTTATTGGTTTTGAAATAAAACAAGTTTTGTGTATTTGGACCTAATTTTTATGGTATCATTTTTATTTTTTAATTCGTGATACATTCGTATATCTAAATATTTGAAGATAATTAAATTCGTCAATTGGTCCCTGTGAGTATCTACAATGGATATGTTTTCGATGCAATCGTTTTTATTAAAATATATGTTTAATTGATGCAAATGAGTACATCATTTTTAGTTGTAATTCACAATATTATAACTTAAGAGTTAAAACTTTAATTATTTGATTTCTCTATTCAAGACAAGATACGAATATAGTAATATAATGATTTATTATTATTTAATATTTATGGTAATAAACTGATAAAGCCTATGATACCAATATTCAGTAACCTGTGCTACATTTTGTAACCATATTGGTAACTTAAGTTCTCTTCCGTCACAGATGAAAACAATAGCATGGCCCATCCATTTCTTTATTATCTATGGATATAGAATAATAATTATAATAAACATGATAAGAAATTGAACATACAATGATATGATTTTGAATTTGAATTATTTTGTATTTTTGTAATTAAATTTGTATATTATTATTTATTTTATTTTGTGCACAAGTACCTTAGATTATTGATATTATGAGTATTTTTATTGAGTTTTCTTTGTGTTCTGTTTTTTCCTTCTTTAGTTTTTTGTTTACGAAAACGATCTTATTTAATATGTATTTTTTGTCAGAAAAGATGGTTGCCTGTAGAACAATTAATCATTATTCATTATACATGAATGTAGAATATTAATTATAAAGTTTGCTCAAAAATTAAAAGATTGCACATAGCGCAGCGCTGTCCAGCTATACACAGCCTCTATGCGTGCAATGTGCACTGTCCACTCTATCATCAGTGATCACCCCTACCACCACTATATATGATAGATAACATTCGGGCATCCTGATGAGTTTAAGGGTCCTCACTTAATGAACATTGAAAACAAAAATAATATGAAAACATATAATACATTATATAATATATATATATATATAAATACATGTAAATAGTTAGTAATTAATTAATAGTAAATAATAATTTCAAACTTAATCCATTACCTACTTTTACATCTTACACATTTTGATAATAGACTAAACAAAAAAAATAAACATTTAAACACTAGTTTAAAWAGCAAATAAAGCATTCTTACTATATATATATATATAAATAATACAATCAAAATCATATTAGGATTTTGTTTCTTTTAAATTTAAGTCTGTAGGAGGAACTACGTTTTGTATTCTAAGCATAAAAATTAATTACATACCTATACAAACACACATAATTTCAATATTGCCTCACGGTATATACAGATGAGTGTAGACATGGTAAACAAAAAGGACCAACATAGTATAAAGTAATCACATTTTATAATCCTCATGCYATCTCGATGGCCGCCTTATCCTAGTCGTTTTTCCTACACCTGGTGAGAGTTCAGTTATGGATTTTGATAACTTTTCTGTAGATTCTTCTTGTGGTCTGTCTGGGTCAGCCTCTCCTACTACACATTGTTCTTCTGAAGTTGTACAAGATTGCTTGTCATCCTCCTACGAATCTGAGTCAGGCAGGTGATATGATTTCATCTGAGACACGTGGACTGTAGTCGCATATTGTCTCCCTTTTTCAGCTCGCAATGCTGACACACTGTATACGTCATTAGGTAGTCCATGTGTCACAATGAGTGGTCCACGATACTTAGGTTGTAGTTTCGTTGATTCACCCGTTGCCTCAGGGGGTCTCTTTATGTAGACAATGTCTCCCTCCCTGTAAACGATTGGCGTGGAGTGCTTTGTATCATACCAAAGATTCCACATTTTATGCWCTTTTGATATACGTTCGCATACCCTCTCCTGAAGTCTYGTAGAATCATCCCATACATAATATTTTACCACATGTCGCAATACGCCATCCTTGAAASTGGGAAAATAGCCATACAATACATGGAAAGGCGTGTCTCCCATAGTTTTATTATATGCGTTGTTAAGGTTAAACTCCACCTCAGTAATATGCTTATCCCAAGTACGGTCTGTTTCCATAGTAGCTTGTATAACAGGAACTAACTTATAACTGTATAACAGGAACCCTTTCAACCTGGCCATTTGCTTGAGGGTGTCTAACGGAATTTAAAGTGTGTTTTATACCATAACGAGAGCAATATTCCCCAAACGCTCTGGATGTATAAGCCGTACCCCTGTCGCTTATGATTCTCCTTGGAATAACAAACTGTAATATAAACTTTTCTAGACTAGCGATAACACTTTCCGTACCACAGCTTCTCACAGCATACAGTTTCACATACTTAGTTAAGTTATCTATCATTACCAAAATATATTGGTTTCCTCTGGTAGACTTAACGTATGGTCTTAGATGATCTAAGTTTAGTATCTCAAATGGGCGTTTCCCTGCTATAATTGGATGTAATGTTCCAGGTTGTTTTCCTAGGGGTAATTTAGTTAAAACACATTCGGGACAACACCGTATATGTAAACGCACKTAGCGGCACATCCGAGGAAAATAATAACTTTCCATTATTTTACCGACAGTCCGGTCCACTGAAAAGTAACCTGACAGGTCGTGAAATCCTACGACCTTTACGCATGGAGTTGAGTGTTAGGTGTGCTGTCCGAAATGCTTCAAATACCAATTTCAACCTATCCAACATTTCCTCGTACGATATAGCAGGCACCAACACATCATCCAAGTACCACATAGCAATCTTTCCCTTCAACGGATTGAGTACCCGTYGCATTAACCTTGAGAACTCATATGGGGCATTAATGAGACCAATCACCATTCGTTCAAACTGACCTGTGTCATCAGGAGTGATGAATGCGGTTTTCGCCTTGGCTGMTTCCGTAAGAGGTACTTGCAGGTACCCGGAGGCCAAATCCAAAGTGCAAAACAATTTCGCCCCATACAAGCTCTMCAAATGATCATACAGCTGTGGTGTAGGGAATACCCTTCGCACCGTTTAAGCATTAAGCTTTCGGTAGTCCACCACCAGTCTGGGATCACAATCCTTTTTTTGGACTAGGAGCACCGGGGAAGCATAAGGTGAAACGGTATCTGACACAATTCCCGTTTCCTTCCACTCCTTGACTATCCTTGCAATGGTTCTGCGTCATTGATGTAGTACTTGGCTTAACAACGGTTTCTCTGGGACGTGTATGATCAACTCTTCCGGAATGTTCTGCTTGAACCTCCATAAGCATACTTTCTTCACTCGTTAATGTGACCTTAAACAATTTTCTAAAATCATCAAAAATTTGAGATCCGCCATGTAGCTTAGATRCCACTGTTTTGCAGGGCCACTCAAATTTGATCTTGCTGCCTCCATAGTGTATGTATCCGGCCAGTTATTGAGTTTAGCAGCCGTACATAATGCACTTAACCATTCATCTGCTACACTAGTGTCACCAGTTTCTACATCAAAATTCTGTATGAGTTGTAAGTGATTCGGTACGAACGACGTAGTTGTTTGGTAGTTGTGACTCTGTCCCATCAACTTGTCTACTAAGTTCCGCATTTGTTCTTCACGTAATCGGTTTTGTTCAAGTATAGCATTTATCAGCTCATTAACGTCGACTGATAACTGTTGATTACTCGGTGAACTCATCTTGCTCGATTGAATAGGACGGTATCCTTATTTTTCTTTTTAATAAAATACGCCAAAACACGAGAAAAAAAATCAAACACACTATAATATTTCAAATGAAAAGTTTGTTATTTTTTTTTTTGCGATCTTATCACTTATCACGTTTGATCTTTGCTTATCAAGATCTCAAACCAGAGTGACAATACAAACTAGTACCAACCTTAGATCATATATATGATCTAAGGTACCAACCGACGACCACGCTTATCGTGCCCTCACTTGATAAAACGATTTACAATTTTTAGGTTATGCACCACGGCTAATGGCTAAACCACGTCGACTTAATTATTCGAAAACAGTCGAAACCTCGAAACACAAATCGTACCAATTAATATATAAACATTTTAAGTGCAACTTTTTGCAATTTTTGACCTTTTTTTCAATTTTGTTGATTGTCGTCATTTCCAATACAATTTTATATATTTTTTTATGTTTTCTCTTTTTTTTTTGTTAGATTATACAGTTACCGGGCGTCATGGCCTATTATTGTCCATCCCGGCCAGTACAACTAATGATTAATACTTAAAACGTTAGAATTATTTTCTTAATTAATATTTATAATTCAGTTCAAGCTATAAGTATATAGGTATAAATCATAAATATTCAACAATAGAATTTATAAATTATAAATCATCAAAAATTATTATAAGTAGGTATACTTTAATATACATAAATTACTTTATAATGTTATTTATACTTATTTTATAAAAATATTAAATTTGGTAGGTAGCTTTAACTTAAATAAAAATTATTTTAGTTTATGCTATCTATGCTATTTACATTTTTCTTACTAAACATAATGAATAAAACGTGAAGAATACCCATGAATAAGGAGCAGATAGAAAATAACTTAAATGTTGATACTCCTCCGAATTTTCCATAAAAAAATCCACCAATCAAACCACCTAAAGATATACCTAAACAAAATATATAATTGATAAACGAAGTTAAATGCACAGTGCAGATAAAATTTTAATCATGATTATTGATTATTGCTAAATAATAATATGATAAAAATTACTTATTTCTTAAGAGGACGCCACACCCACATGTGTTATCTCCATCTTACAAACGTATAACATAGCAAAATCTGTTTAGCGCGGGACAACTGTTCTCCCTCAATATTTATAATAGAATTTCAAAATTTCACAACGCATAGGTAAGAACTTTATCTGTGTCATAGCGTMGTTATTTTTTTGATAACATAAATATAATTAAAGTTATAAGCTTAAGAAAATGCATTTATTTTTTATTTTTTTATTAAATTACTTAAAATTATTGGTTTGTGCTATCAAAAAAATAACGACGCTATGACACAGATAAAGTTCTTACCTATGCGTTGTGAAATTTTGAAAATTCTATTATAAGTATTGAGAGAGAACAGTTATCCCGCGCTAAACAGATTTTGCTATGTTACGCACTTGTAAGACGGAGACAACACATGCGGGTGTAACGTCCTCTTAAGCAATAAATTAACAGTTATTAATAGTTTTTTTTTTCCAAAATAATTAACATCATAGATTCTTAACCAGGGGTCCACGGGGTGGATGTGAGTGTTGTTTTAAATAACCTCAAAAAAAAAAAATCTTTTGAAATTAATTCATAATATTATTTGATGAATCTTTAAAGTAGAAACTGTACATTTATAATGTACATTTTTAGTGTGAATTTAATTCAGTGGTTTTTAACCAATGTTCCGTGGATTTAGTTTAAGCGTTCCACCAACATTTTAAAATCAGTGAAGAATAATTTTAATTTTCCAAAGACTTCCAAAACACAAATGTATAAAAGTGTATAAAAATATAGCACCTATAATTTACACTATACCAATTGAATTAGTTATAACTAAAAATAGGATGCTAATGACACCTATATTTTAGATTCTGAGCGGAGCGATGAATGTATTGATTTTACCATGATGTGTGTGTGTTATTTTTTTTTTTGTRTGTGTGTGTTTTCGACTTAAGTTGAACTGTTCATAGGTAKTTGCAATTTTCGATCATGATTAGTTTTTTTTTWAAATTAATATCGATAAAAATTTATTTATGAGGTAGAAAAGTTTGAAAATTAAATACAAGGCCCCTAACATATTGTTACAATAACAGTTGAAAAATAAAATAAATTCATAATCACAATTTTTTTTTTATAAGCATTCAAAATTTGAATTTTAACAAAATACGTAAAAATCACAAATATTCGCAAATTATTTTAAGCTAGAAATTCATAAAAAATTTTCTTTTTAAATCTAAGATTTGAAGAATTTTAATAATCTATAATATATCTTAGACAGACAAACTGTCTCTGCTGGTGTTCCACAAGGAAGTGACTTATCGCCCGATTAGTTTTATATATATATACATCAGATATTCCAAAAACAACAAACACGACCAAAGCAACTTATGCAGATGATACAGCTATACTCTCCTTCAATCCAGACCCCATTCTATCTTCAAACTATCTCCAAAATCACCTCAATTTAATAAACACCTGGGCAACCAAGTGGAGAATTTTAATAAATCCTGATAAATCTTTCCATGAGTCATTTATATTGCGAAAATGCAATCTCCCCTCGCTTCAACTTGAAGGAGTCGAGATTCCTACATCGAATCTTACGATTACGGTAACGTATCAGGAATTTTACTTGACAAAAGATTGACATGGGGACTGCATTTAAAGTCCAAACGTAAAATCCTTAACAACCACCTTCATCTATTTAGACTGATTCTCAAATCTAATCTATCAATACACATAAAGTCCACACATTGTACAAATCTCTACTCAGACCCATTTGGGCGTATGGTATGCAAATCTGGGGGTGTGCCAAACCTCCCCTACTCCGCACTATCCAAGCTTCCCAGTCCATCACTCTCCGGCTAATAGCCTCGGCCCCTTAGTACGTAACAAATGAAACCCTGCACAAAGAACTAAGAATACCAACAGTTGACCAACTAGCTAAATATTGTACTATAATAGATTTCACTCTAAACTGCAACACCATCCCAATCCTTTAGTCACTCACCTAGCATCACGTAGGTACTCTTCCTCACAACCCACCGCGCCGACTCAAAAGAAACTGATGACGAGAAATCTTATATTAATGTATAAAAAAATTAATTACTGGAGGGTACCATCGCTGGATGATTTCCCTCATCTTGTGCTTCATGTTATTTTATGTATATAGTGTAATGTCAGTCATCTATTTTACCTATTGTATTGTGTAATACAGATTGTAAATTTTCTAAATAAAAAGTTAGAAATTCATAAAAAAATTTCTTTTTGAATCCAAGATTTGAAAATTTAATACAAGATTCTTTACAAGTTTTGTATCACGAATTTTCGTGATTTTTACGTATTTTGTCAAAATTCAAACTTTGAATGCTTATAAAAAAAAATTGTGACTATGAATTTATTTTATTTATCAACTGCTATTTTAACAATATGTTAAGATCCTTGTATTAAATTTTCAAGCTTTTCTACCCGACAAATAAATTTTATCTAGGACCTAGACAGATAAACCGTCTCTGCACAGAATCGTTTTTCGTATACAATGATATAATATCATTGGATTCAAATTTAATTTCATCCATAACAGTAACCTACTGTTTAGCAGRGCGACATCCACGACTTACCCTTTTTTAAGTCATTCTCATCCTATCTTTAGTTAAAACAAATATTTTCAACTTAAATGCTCTGGGATAAACAGAAGCAAGGAAAAAAATAATTATATTAATATACTTTAATAATAAAACTTATTATGGTAGAGATTCTCTAATAATATTATGTTATATGGTACTTACCAAACACATAGATTGCAAGACATTTAATGTACAGCTAGTAAGTCAAAAATTTGTACACAAAACACTTTACACGAAGGACACAATTTTTAGCTAACATAAAGTATAGTAATATATGTTAAGAAGCATAGGTAGCCAACTTGAAGATAAAAATATCCAACACACTGTTAAAGTGAATATAATAAAATAATAAATGCCATAAGCATTATGTCGTACACATACCTACACCTTCAAACAGTGCTCCAGAAAATCCTACCACAGTAGTAACAGCACTTGCAGGAGCGACGATTCTTGCATATTCCATCAATACAGCGTGACACAATCCGAATGTAATGCCGTTGGTGAATTCAACTGGCAGTATCCAAATAGGATTGGTTATAATAGAGTACAAGTAGAACCTAATAGCAAAAGTGAAAAGACCTAACGCCATGCATTGCGAATGGCCAATTCGTTTGATAATCCAACCAGAAAAAAATAAAAATGGCATTTCACCGCCAATGCATTGAATTCCTAGGGCTGAACCTTGTAATGTTTTTATCCACAATTTCTTTTCACTGTGATACTTCCGAGTTAAATCCTCCATATACCTATAAGATAGGCAAATTAAATTCAAAAAATATTTAAAATTTAATAGATATTAAATAAAAAACTAACCATAAAATAGACACAAAAATACAAAATATTATTAAGTTTATAACTTATAAGTTTATAATGTAGGAACTACSAATTTTTGATATTAAAACCTTTTATAATTATAAATAAGTAAATAATTTTTTTTTAATAATAAAAATATAATTTAATGTTAAATAGATTTAAAATTTGCTTTATTACCAAAATAAATAATTCCACACCATAGATGTACAAACACCCATTAGTATGATCCACAAAAAAAATATCACAATATTCACATTATTTAGCAATTTGAATACGTCTGATAGTGTATTTTTAGATCCAATTGTCTCAGTTATCTTCAATAAATCATGTAAACATTTAAGAAATAATTTATTATCGTATTGTTGAGAAGTTAACAGTGTAATATTTATAATTATATATTATTCCTAAATATCTACAGTCTACTAATATACATTAAATTATTGTATAAATACAATAATTCACTAATCTTTTAGTGACTACAGTGGTGCCCAAGATATATTTTTCAGGTGTAGCAAAAAATAAATTTTACTCACCCACCCACTCCCTCAAAAACTCAAAATTATATTACTTAATACATTTTAACATATTTTAATTGATAATATTAGTAAATAGGTACCAACTAATATGATAATTAATAATGAACATATTTTATGTTATTAAACCCACCCACCCCTTATTTTCAAGGTGTAGTGACCGCTACACCTAGTAATAGGGTTGGGCGCCACTGAATGACTATAATGTATTAAATACAAGTAACTTACTTTTATTTTGTAAGCTACTACAAAATCACACATTACGATTATAAAACATAGATAGTAAATCGGTGAGTAGTTCTTGTGAATATCACTATTACTAAAATAATCAATAAGTGCTCCGCCAAATATCGAGAAAAGTCCCCAACTAATAGATCCCCAACACCTCTGTTTACCAAAATCTTCAAATTCAGCACCTGAATAATATAACAATAAAGCATAGGTTAACATATTATATTTGTATAGCTATAAGCAAGGCTGGGCAAGTTAATGATTTTTTGTTTAACTCAGTTAGAATTAAATTAAAAGTTAAGTAAAGAGTTTACTAAAAGTTAAGAATATACTATGGCGACAACGGACGCGTTATCACCATTTACCTCTCCCTACTTTATGTGATCGCCGCGGACGCACGGTTATCACATAACTTGTTCCCCCATATCTCGAGCCGCGAACTTTGTACCTTTTACACATAGACCTTATACTCATAGACGGAACAAGCTAGTAGTTCCCGCGRTAAACGGTGGCTGCGCTGCACATGTTGTTCCATACTTCTGCGCATGTGCGTAGGACAAACCAGGTTGCGCATAAAACGCTTATTATTATCGTATCGTATTAACATAACGTAATTAATTCTAACAATAGTAGTCAGTTGTCAGTTTTTATATTTTTTTACATTTATAATGGATTTGAAAATCGAACATATTTTAACTACGAAAATAAGTAAAAGATGTATAGTTATCGAACAATATAAGTACACGGAATCAAATATTCTTCAAAATGAAACAATTCGATTTCGTTGTACAAACAAAAAATGCAACGTAAGTGTCTTAATTGATAGTAATTTAAAAAATATATTAGAGATGACAACACATTTACATAACCATGAACCGAGTACAAAAAGATCTTTAGCTATAGATATAATTCGAAGTTCTTCTAAAAAAAAAAAGCTACTGAACAAACACATGAAAAACCTAATAAAATTAATAGGAAAGAATTATTAGTAGATAAGTCAGTACTTCACAATGAACTTAACTATTCTGATATTAATTTAATTAGGCGATCCATTTATCGTAGTCGTAAACAACAGTACCCATTATTATTTAACTTATTATTATTAATTATTCATATTTTATATGATTTTTGACAGTAAATTAGGTACTTATATTTTATACGATTTTTTACTTATTCTTATCAATTATTCATATTTTCTATGATTTTTGACAGTAGATTATTTATATTTTATATGATTTTGTTTAATTAGTTGTTGAGTGTATATTATAAGCATTTCATACTACTCAAACGGTATTTTTAATTGAATAATTCTCGCCCAAACAGTATATATATCTATTCCCCCAACGGTAGTTTTAGTTGACTAAACCCTCACTCAAACAGGCTGTATTTTGGGTCGATTCGCCCAAACGGTTTTCCAATAATATTTTCTAATATTCTACGTATTTTAAATCGACGAACCATTATAGACTAAAATATATTCTAGATAAAACAAAAATTCAAAATTAACTTAATTGGTGATATTAAAAAAGTAGAAATTGATTTTAAGTTAACGTAGATAGAAATAAGTTAAGTTAAAAATAAGTTAATTAAAACAGTRAACTAGTAAGTTAAGTTAATAAGTTAACATTAACTTAACTTTTAACTTACTAACTCGTTAATGTCCAGCCTTGGCTMTAAGCAATAWGTCAATAAGCATTATTTATTACATTATTTTTTGTTTATCATGTACCAACCATATTAAAAATGATAATATACACTATACTTTAGGTTTTTTTTTTTTTTAATTGTAACTATTTTTAATTTATTGTGATAAATTAATAATTAATTAACTTTAAAATATAGAAACAATCACCTAAGAGATCAAAGCAAATTGGATCTTGAAGACTCCAAGTGATTGCTTGGCCAATCCAAAATAAACTCATAACAATGAAATATTCCCAAGACTGATGAAAACTAAGAATGTTCCAAATATTTGCTTCAAATTTTGTAACAGTAGCTAATTCCATAATTACACCATTCGAGCAGTCGATCTCACATCGAGTACACACTGGTTTTAAACATGCGGGAAATAAAACCTGGTTTTCCTTGAATTGCGCCGAATTCACTTCAAACCCAAAATTGTTTTCTATCTAATAATGTATATAACTTAATAATAAAAATTACAAATAACTTCAAYGACATGCAACATTATGATTTTTAGTTAAAAATAATAAAATATGTATCAAAAAATTGGTATTATATAATATRTAAATTGTTTGGCAAAGTTTGATTTTAAATCGACCCCATGTCTATAAACTATAGGTAATATTTATTAATTTCGTATATTAATTTCGAATCAGTTTATATTTTGTTCTGATCSAACTTAACAATAAGTGTAAAAATCGATTTTGGGAGAAGTTCACATCACACTTTGTCGTATCATGTAAGTACATTTAATACATGGGTGACATTTGAGTAGGTATGTGACCAACATTTTGTTACCGACTTATTCAATGTACAAAACACGACACGACACGATGAGTTGTGAACCCCCCCTTTATCATAAAACACAAATAGTTATAGAAATTGACTACCAGAAATATCCTTTGTGTATCCATACTTCTACCTATACCAATTTTTGATGCGAATAACTTAATATTTACAATTTACCTGATTTGTTATGCTTTTGAACAAAGATACATTGAAATATTCAAGATTATTGTTTGTATCTGTGTTATATTGAGGTATACAATAATCCATACCCCAAGATTTACATATTTCATCCCGAAATGATTTATTTGGTTGACAAAACAACTAAAAAGAATACATACAAAACGTATTGATTATTCATTTGTGTATTTATTAAGCTTTTTAATTTATTTTACTAAAAATTACAAAAAATTATAAACAGTACGTTATCACATACATAATAAAATACGAAAAATTATATGTTAAAATTGTCTATTATTTTTTATTTTACCAATTGATAACGTACTTGACATGTAATTGACACAGAATTGTTTATTAAGAGTTTAGATAGACTGTCATCGCATTCAGGCAACTGCAGGTCAGCAACGTTTGAACAAACGTCCAATACTGTTGTGGTATTACAACTTAAAATCGCGGTTGTTTTCATTGGTAGTTTTTGAATAAAGTTTAACGCAAATGCTGTTATACCACATATCAAAACAAATACTAAAAACATGATTCTTTTCACTCGAAATCTATCAACTATGAATCCAATAATAGGCTTTACTAAAAAGGATAAAATAGATAGATATGTGTAAAGGTAACCAACTAACATCGGTGAATAGCCCATTTGTTTAGCTATGGTCGGAGAAAATCCTACGATTGAAGCAACACCTGAAATCCAGTTATATAGTTTAATCCATAAGCTTTTTAGGTATTATAATTGGACAACTTGATGTAGGGAGTGTTAAACATAGTTTTATGATAGAATATAAATTATAACTATCTGAAACTAAAATGTAAAAATATGGCAGTAATTCAGTGACACATCTAGGACTAAAATGTTAGACGAAAAGTAACCTGTTATAGGTTAGATTAGGTTAGTTACACTACCATATTATTCACTTAAAAATATACAAAAAAAGTTGGACCAGTGGGAACCACAATGCTGTATATCAATATTGTCGTATTATGTTTTTGTAATGAATATGTTTGATTTGAAATGTATATATAATATAATATAGTAGTGTATAATATTTAGACATGTAGTACCTATATATAACAATTGTAAATCATTGCAAATGAAAAACGATTCTATAGCATAACGTATAAATAATCRAATCAAAAACTGCTGAATATCAAAAATTGAAGACATTTTAAATTCAAACACTCATAAAAATTGAAATGTATAAACATGKACCTAAGAAAATTTCAAGTGTCTTAGATTTTAAGTTACACCAAAGAAATTTTTTTCAAAAATTCGTTTTGCRTCAAAATTGCCATTATTATTCATTCTTTTTTTCCGACGCTTTGGAAAATAATAATAATTTAAGTTGAATTTTAAAAGGTTTATTCATATTTTTGAAAAAATTGAATATTTTAAATAGATTTCAATTGAATACATCCTCATTCCTCATCGCGAGAAACCGAATTATATGCATTTGAGGGATTTAAATGTCGGTGTTACAAATATTGATTTCATAAACACAAATTTTGTTTTGCATAACTTAAAAACCTATTTAGATAAGGGTACGTATGAAACATTTTATTTAAACTTTAATTGAATAGTTTGGTAGGTATTTAGGGATAAGGTACTGTGCAATTTTCTTACACTCTTGCGTATTATTAATTTAAAACTTTAATATTTTGTATAATATTATACATAGATATCAAGATATCCAACCCAATGTCACCCATGTCAAATATTTATTCAATATATATTGTTTTTAAATAAGGTAGTAAGTAAAAAAATTATTGTATGATATATTTTAACGTTATTAACTTATAGATGGGACTTTTCTACAATTTTTATCGTATTTTGTAAATTCTTGGTGATGCCTAGGTATAATGCCAGTCATTACTCATATAACATTGTCTGAGATTCAGCTTGCAATAATATTATATACTTCATTTAACTATAGTTGAAAGTATTTGCAAAATAACTAGTTGTCATTATAAATTTGATATTATTTAAAAATGTTTATTATTAATATTATGTTGTTATACTTACCACCCAAATAAAGAAAATAGTGAAATTTCATCCGCAACATACGTTTATTTACTGAAAACATTTTTTACGGAGTTTTGAAATTGTTGACTTTTTAGTTTTGAATCTTTAGTTTCCGAATACCTTAAAATTTAAAAAATATTATTAATTATAAAATAAAGGTCAGAAAGATGATGAGAAAAACRARATGGAGTATTATTAAAATGATTGACGACATGTAAATAATTCCAAATATAGGTAGATAGGTACTATAAATGACAGCAAGTTAGAAACACACATTATACATCAAAGCATAGGTAAAAAGAAATAACCAAAATATTTTGGCCATACATATATTGGTTAAAAAACCACATATCGTATACTAAATTATAGATTCTGTTTCATCAGTTTATTTTATAAATAATAAGCGTATCAAATCAAATAAAATTAGTTGATACCTCTGTAACTTACAGTGCTTATTTTTTTAAATGTTTAATGCATACATTATTATTGTTTTGCATCGATACAATACACCGTATTCACAACTATTGTCCATTTTTAAAATTAAACATTAAACGCAATTATTACTTAAAAACAAGAGAATAAAACATGAACAATACTACAGCAATCATAACTTTGATTAGGTAACTCAAAAATCGTAATTCAATATTTGTAAAAATTTAATATCATATTACCTATGATCATCATAGATATTAACATTGGATATAATCATATTATTTTCTGTGGTATGTCAGTTAGAATATTTTCGAAGTTCTTCCATTGCTTCTCTATCTATGGTAGGTGTATTTATGTTTTATCATCACATTCRCTTATTTTCAACATAGACATTAAATATCTTTAATATCTATATGATTTTCAACCAAGGTGGATTGATATGAACTGATATCAATCCACCTTTTTAGATCAATATTCCCTCATTTAAATTGCATGAAAATGAGRGAATATAATATATCCATTACCGTGATTAGATTGATTACTAACGAACATCATGAAATGACGAAAAACACGATACGACGGTAAAAACGCGGTATGACTCAATGGAAATAATACGACACGATGTAAAACACGAAGGTGTGCAAGCGTCTTTAGTTTGGAATGTTTGTGTGATCAATTTATTTTTAGTTGTGCTTTTAATAGGTACCCACCTACCTAGATATTTGTGTATTTACRTTTAAATTAGATATGTTTGTTACTAATTACAATTGAACACCTGCTCTAATTCTTAGGTATACATATAGGTACAAATGGTACAATAATAACTGATATAAGTAGGTACCTACTTTAAATTATAAATAATATAACTTATACTAATGTAGACACAATAAAATTATATTATTGGGGGGWGTAGTGGCCGGGTGGATTAAAGCGATGCGCACCGTCGCATGTCGCCAGTTCGATTCCCGGTCATGGGCCGCATCRCTTTCCGGGCAGTTCATGCTTTCTGGAAAGTGAGGCCGCCGCTCCCCACCTGGGCATGGCAGAAACCTACGGGTGCCTCTTCGAAATTCTGCCAAAAACATCCACGAGTATCAAAAATCAACAGTTTCCTCCCCGACAGTTCCACAGGCTAATGGCTAATTGCCGAAGCCTCAACCCCCTCMCCCCCTCAAAAAAAATTATATTTTCAACATTCTCCGATATCCGCATTATTTAGATTTTAGTGTAGAGAGTAAGTTTTTCAACATTGTCAAGCACAGTTATACAAGCAACAGTCACTATAATGATTTATTATTGAAAAAGCACAAAAAAATTATATTAGTGACTTTAAAAGTTCAAGCCTCGAGGTTATATTATATTATAGTGAATTATTATTTTTTTTAAATCTCAATGTTATTATTGAAGTCGATAATAGTAATTTTGAAAACATAAATAGATATTAGGTACCTAAATAATGTTTTTTTATATTTTATACTGTATTACTGTATGTTTTTTTTTTTGGCAATGGCTCTCACTGTATTATTTTCATGTGTAATTTAATTTAAAACGTCAAGCAAGGTTAACAGTTACGTCGTGTCGTGTGGCTATTTTAGTATTTTGTCGTATTCTAATTGGCATTGGTAACCAATAACCATGATACATTGATATAGAACTTACCTACTAACCATGGTCCACCAGGACATTTTAGAGTTGGGTTAAATTCAACTTTTAGACACGACAATACAAGATAACATAGCCTGCAGTGAACTCGGCTTTAAGCTGGGTTACAACGTGCATCGTGTCTCATCAGCCTCCTGAATGAGTGACACATTTGTTTGACACCCAGTTCCGTTGCTTGGGGGGGGAGGACTTAAGACTTCCCCCAATATATCAAAACTAATGAAACCGGCAATATCCTAGCCCAGCAATAAAATATAGTAACCCCCCACCCAAAAAAAAAAATCCCGACTATGTAAGTATGTCACCAGCTGTTGATAATTAGCAGATATTACCTGTTTTAATTTTTTCGTAACTCTTATGTATGATACCTAATGATATAGCGCGGATTATAGTTAGATTGTATTATACTTTTTGCCGTATAGCTAAAGTATAGTTACTAACGACTAATGAGTAATGAGTAATAGTTACCACATCATGTGATGTACAAGAAATACGTAAAAAAGTCTTTATTTTTTTTTTTCACAGCCGTGTAACAACAATGGCATGGACGCATGAATGAACATCGTTTCATTAACACCATACACATATTATGGCGTCATATAAATTACCAGATAAGTAGTAAACATGAATTAAAGTAATAACGTAGAATTAATTAGTATAACAATTGAATAAAATTATGAATAATTAAAAAATATTTATATTAATTTAATCAATTGCATACAATTATTATTATATAGCTTAAAATTAAGCTTGGTTTATRAACACCAACTAACATTTACGGGGATTAGAGATAGAGATTTAATAGGTACCTAGGTAATAAAGTTGAAGCACTTATGGACTTATGCCTACCTACCTATCTATATCTTTATAAAATTAAAACTCTTATTGT